CCTTCCAAAGCGGATGTTCCCGACTTTCCCAAAGCCCAGGAACCTTGCAAGGCGTGTTCTCCCCAAAACCAACCCCATCCACGCCCTGCGGCGGGTTCTTCCCAGAGATCTCCTCCTGGTCCTCCTCCTGGTCCTCCTCCTGGTCCTCCTCCTCATTCTCCTCCTGGTCCTCCTCCTGGTCCTCCTCCTGGTCCTCCTCCTGGTCCTCCTCCTGGTCCTCCTCCTGGTCCTCCTCCTCATTCTCCTCCTGGTCCTCCTCCTGGTCCTCCTCCTCATTCTCCTCCTGGTCCTCCTCGTCCTCCTCCTCCTCGTCCTCCTCCTCCTCGTCCTCCTCCTCCTGGTCCTCCTCCTCCTGGTCCTCCTGGAGGGTCACTGCCCTGTAGCCTCGTTATGTCCTGTCATTAATGCCTCCAGTTAATTCTGGCTGGGCTCGTCCCAGGCTCAAGCTCCTCATCCCAGTCCTGTGGGACATTCCCACTCGCACTGGGCTTGGTGGGAAGCTGGAGGGCTTCGATGGGATTTGGGAAGGAATTGTTCCCTGGGAAGAGCTGGGATGGAATTCCCAGAGCAGCCGTGGCTGCCCCTGGATCCCTGGCAGTGCCCAAGGCCAGGTTGGAGCAGGGTTTGGAGCAGCCTGGGATGGTGGAAGGTGTCCTTTCCATGGCAGGGGTGGCACTGGGTGGGACTTCAACTCTTTCCAGCCAAAACCATTCCAGGATTTTGGCAGGACAGAGGGGCTGGTGCTGGTTGGGATGCTCAGTGTCCATCCCTGTTCACCACCAGAAGCTCCAAGGACATTCCCTGCTGGAAGCCACCTTGAGCCTGATCCGTAGGGAGCTGGCCAAGCTCGGGGGATGTATTGATTTAGGACAGCAAACATGCAAGTTTGTATGGAATAAAGCCAAATCTCCCTGGGAACGTGCCCTGTGCAGCTCCAGGGGTCAGCTCAAGGTGTGTTGCACCAGAGCATGGCCCAGATATCAAGAATTTATTTTTTTTAAGTCCTTTTCCATGAAAGTTTTGGCGAACCCTAAAACAACTCGGCGTCCCGGCAGCTGCTGCGGCGCCGCCGGCCTTTCCCTTTTTCCCACCTGGAAGCCCGAGTTTGGCCAGCTCCTCGTTGGTCTGGGGGATGATCAATCCTCAAAAACTGTTGTGCTTGCCTGGGAGGTGGGGTGGGAGCACAAACCTGCTCCTCATGGCTGCTCCTCTGGCCCCAGCAGGAAAGCCGGGGAGGATCCCGCGGCGCTGGCCCCGCTCTTCGGGCCCCCGCTGGAGTCGGCCTTCGAGGAGCACAAGCTGGACGGTGAGTTTGGGGCCGAGGGGTCTTGGGGCACGGCCGAGGGGTTTTGGGGCCAGGGCGATGGTGTTTGGGGCACGGCCGAGGGGTTTTGGGGCACGGCCGAGGGGTTTTGGGGCCAGGGCGACGGTGTTTGGGACATGGCAAGTGACTTCTGGGCGTGGGCGAGGGGTTTTGGGGCGTGGGCGAGGGGTTTTGGGGCGTGGGCGAGGGGTTTTGGGGCATGGCCGAGGGGTTTTGGGGCATGACCAGTGACTTTGGGTCATGGCAAGTGATTTTGGGGCCAGGCTGATGGGTTTTGGGGCGTGGCAAGTGACTTTGGGGCTGGAACAAGGACATCTGGGGCCAAGCCAAGGGCTTTTGGGGCGTGGCAAGTGACTTTGGGGCTAGGGCGAGGGAGTTTGGGGACCTGGCGAGTTTGGGGCCATGGTGAGTTTGGGGACAGGGTGCCCACCCTATCCCCACATTTGGGGTCTGGGTGAGGGAGTTTGGGTCCATGGTGGGTGACTTTGGGGGCGTGGTGAGGGAGTTCGGGGACCTGGTGAGTTTGGGGACAGGGTGCCCACCCTATCCCCACATTTGGGGACCTGGTGAGTGAGTTTGGGGTCTGGGCAAGGGAGTTTGGGACCATGGTGGGTGACTTTGGGGCTGGGGCAAGGGAGTTTGGGGACCTGGTGAGTTTGGGGACAGGGTGCCCAGTCTGTCCCCAAATTTCAGGGCCTGGTGAGTGAGTTTGGGGTCTGGGTGAGTTTGGGGTATGGATGAGGGAGTTTGGGGCCAGGGTGGGTGTCTTTGGGACCATGGTGGGTGTCTTTGGGGCTGGGTGACTTTGGGGCCAGGCTGGGTGTCTTTGGGGCCAGGCTGGGTGTCTTTGGGGCCAGGGTGGGTGTCTTTGGGGCCGGGTGACTTTGGGCCACGGTGGCATCTCCGGGCAGGGCCATGGGAAGGTTGCCCAGGCCTGGCAGGGGTGGATCCCCGTTCCTGGAGGGATTTCACACCCGTGTGGATGTGGCACTTGGGGACAAGGTCAGGGTGGAGCTGGCGCTTCCGTGGGCTCCGAGGGCTTTTCCAAGCGGGACAATTCCCCGATTCCCAGCTCCCAGCCCTCCTGCTGGAGGAGGAACCAGCCCGGGCAGGGCTTGAAGGACCTGTGGCCACCTTGGGGGTTAATTCAGGCTGGGTGGAAACAGAGCAAGAACTTAAGTCAATTAGTTAATTACGAGGTCTGGGAGAGATCCTGACAGGGAACAGCTCAACAATATAAAAACTCAGGATTTTCCAGCCCAGCCTTCACCCTGGAGCAGGGGGGTTTAACTCCAGCCAGGATTCTGGACAAACCTTGCACCCTTCCATGCCTAGGAAATGCCATCTCCAAAATGTCATTTTTTCCCTCCTTTAACACAGAGACACTTGGCTTCCTTGCAAAGCTGATTTTCACAGCTTTCCCAAAGCCCAGGAGCCTTGCAAGACTTGTTTTCCCCAAAACCAACCCATCCACGCCCTGCAGCGGGTTCTTCCCAGAGATCTCCTCCTCCTCCTCCTCCTCCTCCTCCTCCTGGAGGGTCACTGCCCTGTAGCCTCGTTATGTCCTGTCATTAAAGGCTCCAGTTAATTCTTTTAATCAAAGCAATGTTTGCAAGCAGTTCTCTGCACAAAAACTCCCAGAAATCTACATTATATACAAAAATATCTTTTTTTCTCCCCCTTTATTCCCTGGGAATACAATTATCTTTTCATTTTACTACCTGATGGGGTTTTTTTTGTTTGCATATCCTAAAATTCCAGACCACTTTGGCCATCAATACAATGTTTTCCTTCCCATAGTAAGCCTCCAAATCCATCCCTGGCATTGTTTTGTTTGTCAAGCAGCATAAGTGTCAAACTAATTGCACGTCCTGCTTCAGAATCAGACAGGATTTTAATTATCCACCATTACAGAGCCCCCCTGTTTTAATTAATGAGGTTTCTGGCACTGTCTGGGCCCTCTTTTCCCAGAGCCTCGGTGCCTCATCTGTGTGTTGGGTGATGGGAGGAAAACATTTGGGTTTTTCATTGCTTTCGAATGTTTATTTTTGATTTTTCAGCTGCTCTGGACCAGCCTGAGATATGGGGGTCAGTCCAGCCCATCAACACAAACGTCGAGTCCCCAAAACTTCCGAGACCTTTTCCAACTGGAAGTAAGTGACCGTGGAAATCAATTAATACCTCCAGAAATCAGGTCAAAGGTTTGAGCTGTCCTCATCCAGGCTGTGCAGCTCCACAATATTTTAAATTAAAGGGTTTTTTTTTTTTTTTTCTTTTTTTGGCTTGGGCGGCAGCGCTGTGGGGTGGAGGAGGGAGTGGGATTGATAAGGAATGGAGGGATGGGATGGATCCTGACCCTGCATGTTCACTTGGCTGGAAAAGCTGGAAGCGCCGGTTTTTCCGGGATAACACTGGGGAGAGCAGCACAGCCCCAATCCCAGATTTGGATTGCAGCTTCCCCTCTGCAGAAATGCCCCCGTAAAGCACAGCTGGCTAATTAGCCGCTGTTAATTAACCCCAGCATTCCCCATCCCGGATCCACGCAGCCTCGGAGGATCCAGGTTTAATTAAAATGAGAATTTAGGGGGTTGGAGCAGGAGCGAAGGCTGGGATGTGCAAAAAGGGGGAAAATTCCATCAAACCCAACAGAAACTGCCGGAGGGCAGGGATGGATGGGGTATTGGGGAAGAATTCCCGGGATTTTGGGGAAGAATTCCCGGGATAATGGGAAGAATTCCTGGAAAGAATTCCAGGGATACTGGGGAAGAATTCCCGGGGTATCGGGAAGAATTCCCGGGATAATGGGAAGAATTCCTGGAAAGAATTCCCGGGATATTGGGGAAGAATTCCCGGGATATTGGGGAAGAATTCCCGGGATATTGGGGAAGAATTCCCGGGATATTGGGGAAGAATTCCCGGGATTTTGGGGAAGAATTCCCGGGATTTTGGGGAAGAATTCCCGGGGTATCGGGGAAGAATTCCCGGGATAATGGGAAGAATTCCCGGAAAGAATTCCAGGGATACTGGGGAAGAATTCCCGGGGTATCGGGAAGAATTCCCGGGGTATCGGGAAGAATTCCCGGGATAATGGGAAGAATTCCCGGAAAGAATTCCCGGGATATTGGGGAAGTATTCCCGGGGTATCGGGAAGAATTCCCGGAAAGAATTCCCGGGATATTGGGGAAGTATTCCCGGGGTATCGGGAAGTATTCCCGGGGTTTTGGGAAGAATTCCCGGGATATTGGGGAAGTATTCCCGGGGTATCGGGAAGAATTCCCGGGGTTTTGGGAAGAATTCCCGGAAAGAATTACCGGGATATTGGGGAAGTATTCCCGGGGTATCGGGAAGAATTCCCGGGATATCGGGAGGAATTCCTCCTCCGTGCGGGGGTGGGGAGGGATGGGATGGATTCCCAGGGCTGCTCCTGGATCCCTGCGGTGCCCAAGGCCGGGGCGTGGAGCTCGTCCGCGCCCCATCCCTCCTGCCAGCGTGATCCCGATCCCGTCCGGCATTCCCGGGCTCCTTCCCGGGCTCCTTCCCGGGCTCCTTCCCGGGCTCCTTCCCGGGCTCCTTCCCGGGCTCCTTCCCGGGCTCCTTCCCGGGCTCCCGGCGCTCTCCAGCTGAATTCCCCGTCCCTGTGCTCTGTTCCAGCCCCGCCGCCGCTGCCCCCGAAGAACGTCCCGGCCACGCCGCCGCGCACCGGCTCCCCCCTGCCCCCGGCCATCGGTAACCGGGAGGGGACCGGGGGGACGGGCAGCCCCGGCCGGGGTGGGACAGGGCCAGCCCCAGCCCTGGGATGGCACTGGGAAATGGATAGGGACATTCCCAGCTCTGGGATGGCACTGGGAAGGGGACAGGGCCAGTCCCAGCCCTGGGAAGGGGACAGGGACATCCCCAGCTCTGGGATGGCACTGGGAAGGGGACATGGACCAGTCCCAGCCCTGGGAAGGGGACAGGGCCATCCTCAGTCCCGGGGTGGCACTGAGAAGGGACATGGACCTCCCCAGCTCTGGGGTGGCACTGGGAAGGGGACAGGACCAGTCCCAGTCTTGGGATGGCCCTGGGAAGGGGACAGGGCCAGTCCCAGCCCTGGGAAGGGGACAGGACCAGTCCCAGCCCTGGGGTGGCACTGGGAACAGGACAGGGACCTCCCCAGCTCTGGGGTGAGACAGGGCCAGTCCCAGTCTTGGGATGGCACTGGGAAGGGGACAGGACCAGTCCCAGTCCTGGGGTGATACTGAGAAGGGAACAGGACCAGTTCCAGTCCTGGGTGGCACTGGGAACAGGACAGGACCAGTCCCAGCTCTGGGGTGACACTGAGAAGGGGACAGGACCAGTCCCAGTCCTGGGAAGGGGACAGGGCCATCCTCAGTCTTGGGGTGGCACTGGGAAATGGATAGGGACATCCCCAGCTCTGGGGTGGGACATGCCCATCCCCAATCCTGGGGTGGCACTGGGAAGGGGACAGGGCCAGTCCCAGCCCTGGGGTGACACTGAGAAGGGAACAGGACCAGTTCCAGTCCTGGGTGGCACTGGGAACAGGACAGGACCAGTCCCAGCCCTGGGGTGGCACTGGGAACAGGACAGGACCATTCCCAGCCCTGGGGTGGCACTGGGAACAGGACAGGACCAGTCCCAGCCCTGGGGTGACACTGAGAAGGGGACAGGGCCAGTCCCAGCTCTGGGAAGGGGACAGGGCCAGTCCCAGCTCTGGGAAGGGGACAGGGCCACCCCCAGCTCCAGGGAGACACGTCCCCGTGGCTGCATTCTGGGCATGGGTTTGGTCCCTGTCCATCCTCTTTGCTTGGGATTCGGGGAGTTCTGGCCTGGGCTGGGTTGGGAGGAGTTTCTGCCCGTCCCAGTTCCCAGCTCCCGCTGTGCCAGGCTGCCCCAAGCCCCGTCCAGCCTGGCCCTGGGCACTGCCAGGGAAGCAGGGGCAGCCCCAGCTCGGTGGTGTCTCAGTGGATGCTGCAGTAGAAGCAGCACAAAGATGGTTTTGCCTCCCGAGTCGGTGAAATTCTGTTCCTTACACCATCCCTGCCTTTGGATCAGTCACTCTGGGAATGCAGCACAGGGTTGGCTCTGCTGAAAGCTGGGATACATCCCCAATTCCAGAGCCCTGCTCCTGCCTGTGCTGAGGAAAGCAGAGGTGTGCAGGGTCTGCCTGTGGCAGGGAGCTGCTCCCCCAAATCCCTGCTGAGAGGTGGGAAAAGCCCCCCTGATCCTGCAGCCCAGGGCAGGGAAGGAAAACAGTGCTGGGCATGAGGGACACCCCGAGGGCAGGGATGGAAAGGTGTTGAATGCAGCCACGGGTGCTTCCAAAAATATAATTCATGGTGCTGGCTGGTGGAAAAGCAGGATCTGAGCAGGGAAGGCAGAGCCTGGGAGAGGGCTTGCCTGGGGCCAGCCAGAGCCCCTCGGGGTGAAACCCCTGTGCCACGAGGAGCCCCCTGCTCTGTCCACCACCCCCTCATCTGTGCTCCCAAATCCCCATTTTCCTGCTGGTGGGAGCAGCCAGGGTGTCCATGTCCATCCATCCATCCATTCCCAGCAGCAAATGCCCCATCATTTGCTGGGCTGTGCCTTGTGTGTGTGTCAAGCAAGCGGCTGAGCTCTGGTTTTGTCTGGTTCAGCAAATTCCTGTTTTATCCCCATCCCCTCCCTAAATGTAGAACCACGGATGGAGCCCCCAAATAAAGGAGCAGGGATGGGGTGATGGTGCCACGAGGATCCCGGAGGGCATTTAGTGTTAGGCTCTCCCTTCCCTGGATGTGAAATGCTTGGTTTGTTTGGTTTTTTGGTGGAATTGCTGGTGTGTGGTGGCTCAGTGAGCAGAGCCCCGAAATCCCCATCTGTGCCCCGAAATCCCCATCTGTGCCCCAAAATTCCGACCTGTTCGTGCTTGTGGCTGGGCTGCATTCCCTGTGCCTGGAATTCACCCCCCGTGTCCATCCTGTGCTGCATGCCCAGGCTCCGGCAGTGTCCAACCAGCATGTCTAAATATATATATTTATACCTGAGTGTTTATAAATATATATATAGAGAGAGTGTGGGGCGTGCCAGAGCGCTGAGTGCACACCTTTGATACCTGCTGATAAATCAGAGCTGCTGCTAAGGACGTGATGTGGTTTAGAGGACAAAAAAGGCTGTAAATTCGGGGGGAATTTGGGATTTCTTGGCTGTGAGTGCTGGCTCATGGTGCATGCTCCTTCCTCCAGCCTTTGGATCCCGCGGGATTCATTTCCATGTCACACCTGGCTGTGCTGGAAACGTTCTTGCCCATGAATTATATAAATAGAAATGATTTTAGAGCCTCTCCCGTAGACGTAGAGCCCGTAGAGAGTAGCGCAGCCCTCACTTAACGCCCGGTGTAAAATAAACCTCCTCTGACCACAGGAGGGGACCAGGCAGCAGCAGAGCCCAAACGGGACAACCTCCCGTCCATCAATGACTTGGACAGCATCTTTGGCCCCGTGCCGTCCCCTAAATCTGCTGCTGCCACGGCGGAAGACAAGTGGGTCAATTTTTCCGACCAATCCCCGGAAAACGCAGCTCCGGAATTGTCACCCCGGCCCAAGGCTCCGTCCCCGGCGGCGGGCGGCCCGGCCGAGCCTCCCCGCCCGCTGCCCTCGCCGCTGGTGCTGCAAGACGCTCCCAAGAAGCTTCCCGAGCATCCCCACCTTCAGGATGATTCCGCCGAGCCCGTCGCCTCTCCCAAAGATTTCGGGCCGGGTCAAAGAGCCACCCCGCCGCCCCCTCCGCCGCCCACCTACCGCGCGGTGGTCTCGTCCCCCGGACCGGCCAGCGGTACGTGCTGAGCTCGGGTGTGCTGCCGTGTGCCCCCCGTGCCCCTCCTGCCTGCCGTGTGCCACCAGCGAGCGTCCTGCTGCCAGCCTGGCCGGCCTTGCTCCCTTCCCTCTGCTCATCCCGAACCTCCCCGCAGCGCTGCCGCCCCGCACGGGGTTGGGGTTGGTGGTGGTGTTGGTGGTGTTGGTGTTGGTGCCGTGGTGTCCTCTGTGGGGATAGAAGTGGTTCAGGTAAACCCTCCGAGCCGAGCCTCAATCCGGGGTTGGGGTTTGTTTCTTTTCTCTTTGCTCACATCCCGGTAATTCCCAGGTGGGAATGGTGCTGGGCTCCTCCTGGCTCTGAGCGTGGATGGGGAGATGAGTTCCGGAGTGAGCGTCTCCCCCGGGAGAAGCTGCTGGCTCTGCCTGCCTTCACCTGCTTAATTATGGATGTTGATTAAGGCAGAGGAGCCGCGGGAGGCTCCCTGCTCGAGGAGCTGCAGCCTGAGCCCGGCTCAGCCCCGTGCTGCCACCCCGCATCCACCAAAGGTGATTTTTGGGGGAATCAGAGCCTTGAGGAACCTGCACTGGTGGTGGACTCCGTGTCCGAGCCCTG